TCAAACAAATCAGTTAGGGGCCAGTAGCTGAGAAGGGTGCTGGGATTATGCACAGAGAGAATCAATCAAACCCTTCTACTCTGCCAAATGCAGCTCCAAACCCTTGAGGCTGCAATAGGCCCCGCTTGCCTGCAGGGACATCCCTTCCACAGGGGAGATTGGAGAAATCCTCCAGGTAGCTCTACCCCACCCGACCTTTGCACATAGCTCCCACTGCCTTTTTCTACATAGGCACAGAAGCAATTTCAGTGGGAGCTGAGTTCTGTGCATCTTCCCCGGCACAGGGGGAACTGTACTGGTTAGTGTACCAGGGCTCCCTCTCTAGCCACAAAGGTGGAGGCAGAATTTGCCTTTTTTAGCAGATAGAGTAAATAGAAATTAGAAATATATTGTATTACAGTATATACCAAAGGGAAAGAAAATCTAGCTAATACCCCTATAAAGGTCAAGGTAAGCGCCCCATATTTTATTTAAAACATTTACATTACCCATCACTTAAAAGGAAAAATCATTCCATCCTTGTGCATGGGGATCATTATTATTTATTTTTAAAGATTGGCTAGTTATTGAAATTTGATCTGAACAGGATTGCACTGGGTTAGTTTGAGGTACTCAAGAGTTTGGATCTAGGCTCAGATTTTAGTTACATAGTCCATGGAACCTCACACCAAAATATATGACATGGTGATGTTTTTGAGGCCTGCCCAGGACTACCTGCCAGTGCTTTATAGCACAAGTGGCAGAATAGGGCCAGCTGAATGAGGAGGTGCAGACAGCATCTTCCTTCTCTGGAACTGGGCAGACTTATTCTCATCCAGACTCTTTTCCATGGCTGGCATGGGTTTGCAGAGTATGTGGTGCTCTGAGTTACTTTGGAAATATATTGTCACAGATCAGAGTTTACAAAAGGAGAACCCAGGAGATTTGGATTTAGCTTATTGGATACCAACCCATCCATTTCAGATGGGTTCAGATATCTTAATTTGTCTAATTGTTTATTCAGCCTTAGAAATTAGTTGCATTTTGTCTGTCCCAATTTAAAATGTCTGTCCTGCAATTCAAAAGCTTCCCTGGGTTCAAGTTATGTAAGTGATCCCCTCTTTCCCCATGACCTCCTGCAGTAACTATTCCATGGAACTGTGACCCTGCCAACCAGGCCTATTGAGGACAAGGGATGGGATTTTTACGGGACCCAGACCTAGTCAATGGAGCTTTCTTCTGCAAGAGATCAGAACAAGTATGCGTCTTGCCCCATTCAGAATGAAATGCAATACTCATCTCTTCGACTTAGCTTTCTCCCAGTCACCTCTTCACACAGATCATTCTCTCACACTTTCACAACTTCTATGTACTTTTCAAGTTGCCTCTTACTAGGGTGTAGGGTAAGAGTGTTAACTTCAATTTTAACATCTCTGGGGTATGGAAATACCATAGGAATGAGGACTATGTAAACAACCTGATCTATTTTTAACATAGCCGTCACCTTAGAGACTGGGTGCTCAGGATTACATTGCACTCCATTGCTGCCCCTTTCCTGCCCCAGAATGCCACGAACAGTGAGGGAGAATGCTATGCTGACCTTAATAAGTCGGCATTAAATCCCTTTTGTGTCAGCGGAGGCAGTGCAGTTGGGACTTAGGCAGGACTGAGGATCTGGCCCCAGTGTTACACATGTTGATGAAAATACTAGCAGCAACACATACTGTGATTCAAATGCTAGACAGCATGAAAAAGCAGTGGTTGAATTCTAGTTGAGATTTTACAGTGGAGCTTGGACAAATGTGAATAGCTAAAACTATGAAGGTTTGTATAGTTCTAGCCATAAGTGATCTAGTTTGCCAACTGGAAAAGTAACAGGAATAAATGAAGCTGCATCTCTTTAAATCCCAAGGGACATTAAGGTGACAATTAAAAACAAAACAAAACAGAAGAAAAAAAGCCCTCCATTATTCTACAATAAGAGTATTGACATTTTTATGGCTATTTTATAAGCAATACCTCATACATGTTTAAAGATTGTGGATTTGCAGACAGATGTGTCAGCCTTAATGGTTCAGTCACATTTCACACATCCAGTGATGAATATTTTGCATGAGTGCCAATTAATCTAAGGTAGCTAAGAAACCAAAAATTGGCCAAAATCAGAGAAGTGCAGAACTAGTCTGAAACGTTTTAAATAGTTTGAAACTCACACTGTTTGATGATTTGTGGGTGTGGGAATAGTCTGTAAGTAACTAGAAAATGTGAGAATAGAAGGAGCCATAATTCATCTGTCCTCATGGCACATACATAACAGCAAATGTTCATATTTTTGAAGTGAAATGTTAGGAAGTAAATTACATTATTTTCTAAGCAGTCTGAGAGTGTAAACCTGAAGTATTTTGGAAAGAGTAGAGAATGCAAATCTGTTGATATACTGATATACAATTGACAATGTCTTAAGGCATTCTAGGGAATTAGTTATCTGTTAGAGGGAGGAGTTGCAGGCAAATGTAGTTATTTTAAACATCCTATAGAATAGCTATAGTGAGTAAGTCATGATTGCCTTCTAATAATTTTGAATAGTGACCAATACATCCTAAAAGCTTTTGTTACAGTAGGTGTGGAACGTCATGTGAAACCTTCATTTCCCCACAGTCACAGCTTCAGGCAGTTAATAACAAAGCATTACATGATTAATCTCTTTCTCTGGCAAGAAAACAAGTATTTGACAGAAAATTGGATAGACTAAGCCAAATTTTCGAAAGTGGCCAGTGATTTTTGGGTGCCCAATTTGAGACACCCTAAAAGGATTAGCTTTTCAGAGGGTGAATGCTCAGAACTTACTGAAAATCAGTCCCTTTTAAGGTGTCTCAGGCCTGGTCTACATTTACCCCCCAATTCGAACTAAGGTACGCAACTTCAGCTACGTGAATAACGTAGCTGAAGTCGAAGTACCTTAGTTCGAACTTACCTCGGTCCACACGCGGCAGGCAGGCTCCCCCGTCGACGCTGCGGTACTCCTCTCGTATAGCTGGAGTACCGCAGTCGACGGCGATCACTTCCTGGTTCGACTTATCGCGTCCAGACAAGACGCGATAAGTCGAACCCAGAACTTCGATTCCCAGCCGCCGAACTAGCGGCTGGGTGTAGACATACCCTCAGATTGGGCATCCCAAATCAGCAGTAGCAAGAAGCTCTCTGAATAGTACATAGTGGAGAGCAGTTCTAGGCTCAGTTCTTCTTTACTCACCTTCTGGAAACAATTGCAGTGAGATCTGGTGCCAAAGAGTTGTCTTGGTACAACCTATTTACAGTGGAGTAAAACCTCAGCATGAGCAGAGTGAATATTCACTATAAAGCAAGTAGAAGTCTATTTAATTACTGAATTGGAGACTTTTGTCTCCACCACCCAATCAAGAGAACTTCCTTGGATGGTACGTTCCCTTTAATCAGGTTTGATTGAATGTTCGGACTTAATGAAATTATTCTACTAGCAAAGACCCACATTTATTGTGGCTAAAAATACTTCCGAGAAGCTGGAGCTATGCACATTACAAGATTGCTCTGTCTAAAAAATCTTCCAAATACCCAGATGTGCAGATTAGGCAGACACAGATTAAGCAGGCCCGTGATTTTAAAAGAATTAACTGTTTAATCTCAACATTAATGTGGCACCTTTGCTTTGTTTTGTAATAAATTATGTACCTAAAAAAAGTGTACTTGGCTTAAATATAAATTGGAAATATAGCTGAAACACACTCATTTTTCTTAATTTTAATACAGCATTGCTTTGGTGGGATCAGTAAATCAGAACTCACTAATCCCTAAAACAGTTTGAAAACACCATATTTATTCAGATTTAGAAACTAAACATTCCAGTTGAAAAGGTCAGTGGCACATACAGCATGTGCTGTAAGATTGGTAACTGCTCAAATCTTCTCAGTTGTGAGACAGCTGGATAAACAAAGCATGGATTAGCCAGGTCTGGCTGTAAGCCTGCAGAGCACCTTCATGTGTAGCTTTCTGTCATTAGTAGTTCACAGAACTAAGACAACATTTGGAGAGAGAGAGAGGTGGTGCTGTGGATGGGTACACTGGCCTTTCACCTCTGCAGACTAGAGTTGAAAAACTTTTAATCATGAGTCAAATGAGGCCGGTGGTCATATCCTAGTCCTTAGCGGACATTTGCTCATATCACAGAACTTCATAATCATATGACAATTGACATATCTCATTCCACATTGACAATCTCATTCCAAGGAATATGATATAAGCAATGCCATTGCAGATCAGGACTGAGATGTATTAACAATTCTTGTCAGGAGACTTACACAGTGCTTGCCTGGTGCTAGCCAGTGATGTTATTACTTCACTTCACTGTGCACAAAATACTTTTACAAATAGAGTACATATTTAAAAAAAAAAAAATAGGGCAATTAACTCATTGATGCCTGGATTCAAACTTTATGGTCTCTTTCCCAGCAATGAACTTATTGAACTGAGGGGGCAAAGCAGTGGCATTTTACAAACCAATAAGAATTCAGTCTTCGAAGCCCATCAAGCTTACCTGATCAATACTAGAAAATGTGGCTTATTTTAAATGTGCACATCACACTATTCATTCGTTGTCCATTCGGGTCTCCAGTTAGGTGCCTGTGACATGTGGTTCAGTATAACTCAACTAAAACACAACTCTGTGTTAAGCAAACAAATCTGAAGTTCTTTTCTCCTGAGCTGACAACCCTGCCATAAAACAGCTCTTCCTGGATCTCCACAGCACAATCTGGTGCATTTATTTTCTGCTAAAACAAGTATCTTAGACACAAAATTGTCTCCATAGCACCTGAGCTCAGTGTTTGGTCTAATCACCATGTCTTCAGCACTGCTCTCCAACTGCCTCTCCTCTCTATTTTCTCTGTTCTTACCCAGTGCAATTCAGGAAATTCTTCCAATGTTCATCACCAAAGTCCTCTTTTTTTTTAATTACTTTGTACTGTGTATTTATTTTTATTTTTCAGACTGGAACAAGCGTATTGAGTATAAGCCTGGCTCTGGCAGCATACCTTTGTTTCCCAGCATTCATCTGGAAACCTGTGATGGACCTGTTTCCTCAATCCAGACCACTATTGAACTGCAAACCAATTATATTGGAAAGGGCTGTGACCGAGAGACATACTCTGAGAAATCACTGCAAAAATTATGTGGTATGTGCTTGGTTTTCAGTTTACTTATTAATTCCTTTTGTCCAGATAAAGCACTTTTTCCATAAACACACAGACCAAGTCGCTACTGTATATGTGGTTTTACATATGCACAATGTCCATTATAGCTAACTGGCTGGTACCCATAGGAATTAACAAGATGGCATGATGTGACATCAGAGGTAGTTCTTGCTTTTCTCTTCCACTCTTTCTTCATTACTTTCTTACTTTCAGTTCTCCTCTCCTTCCTCTCTTCTCCTCTTTATCTTCTTTCCTTCTTTTCTTCTTCTCATCCTTCTCCCTTCCCTTCATTTATGATGTGGATAATTTATTATTTCCATTGTGGTGTTACCTAGGGCTCAGATCCATGTTTATCATACCAGGAGCTGTATAAACAAATAACAGATTATTATGAAGACTTTAGCACTTCACCCACATGAAACTGTAGCTCCTATTCCAATGACCCTTTCTAATTTCATTGCACCAAACAAATCCACTTAAGAAATGTCATGCAGTCCTTTGCCAGAGTTTTTTTAAAAATGGAAAGTTTGGGATACTATGGAAAAAAGGTATTTGAGAGATGGATAGTTTCTACAAAAGATATTCTGATTCAGTGAAGAGTTTCCAAATGTGTTTTGCCCCTTTATTCAGTAGCTCAATATAGGCTTGAACTAGATGCTCCAAATTTGTTTTGCTGTGCAGGTATCACCAACAGGAAAAGTGTCTTGCTATTCTTGGAAGGCAAGAGGACTATTTAGTTAGCTATTAGGTAGTTAAGAAAAAAAGTACTTTGATACTCCTTTGACCTGAAATTTTTATTTCTACGTGTGGACTCTGGTATAGTTTCTGAGCATTGGAGTGGGCAGCACTCCAGCTAAAGGCTTGTGTAAGATTTGCACTTCAGGATGTCCACAGACTAAGCCACACTTTAGAGCTATGTACACTTTACCTTACGATATCTGCAACCTTAGGGTGTGTCATTCTTAAGGCTTGTGTCTGAACTGCTGTCAATGTACAGTTAGGCAGTCTACAGCCCCAGAGTGCATCTTTCCTAAAACCCATGTCTAAGCTTCTATGACATGTGTTCTAGGATGCCCACAATCAATACAACTTTTCCATTTTAATTCATAACTTTTCTGTTGTGCTTTATTAATTGGCTTAAATTTGCTTTGCTAACACCATTGCAATACTGCACAGATGTACAGATCAATAAACTAACCTTTTAGAAAATAATTTAGGGCCTGAAAATGTCTCAGGCAACTTTACCAAACATTTTTTAAAAATCGAAAGCATTTCCCAGGCCAAAAAACTTTTACTTGGAGTTAAGATTATAAATATTGTGACCGGGCAAGGCCAGATGGCTATAGAAAAGTAATGGGAGATAGATATATTAGCCCCAGGTTAAACAAATCCCTGGTACCAGGATAAGTAAATGGCAGCTGCTCCAGGTCAGTTAAGACACCTGGGGCCAACTAAGAGCTTTCCAGAAGCCAGGGAGGATGCTAGGTTGATTGGGACACCTGAAGCCAATCAGGGGCTGGCTGAAACTAGTTAAAAGACTCCTAGTTAGTCAGGTGGGTGTGCATGTCAGGAGCTGTGAGAAGTTGTGCTGTTGGAGAGACTGAGCTGTACACACCATATTAGGCACAAGGAAGGAGGCCCTGAGGTAAGGGTGAAGTGGAGCTTGAGGAAGTGGGGGCTGCTGTGGGGAAGTAGCCCAGGGAATTGTACGTGTCCTGTTCCTAAAAGGTCAGCTACCATAGCTGATACTATTAGGGTCCCTGGGCTGGAGCCCGGAGTAGAGGGCGGGCCTGGGCTCCCCTCCTTTACCCCCCTGATTAATCACTGAGACTGGGAGACAACAGAGACTGTGCAAGGGAGGATAGCTTCTCCTCACCTACCTCGCTGGCTTATGATGAAAATGGCTCAGTAGACTGTGACCCTTGTCTCTGGAGAGAGAAGGGTTAAGTGGAGGGTCACAGTGAGCCTCTGAGGCTAGCGAAATCCATCAGGAAACGCAGGACCCATGGAAACAAGGACAGAGCTTTGTCACAATATCTATCAGTTACTTGTGGGGTAAACAAGAAGTAAAAGAATATTATTGTCCTCATAAAATCTACAGATATTACCCTGGAAATTGCACAGGTAAGGTAACACAAACAACCATAAATTTACTCCTGTATTATAATCCAACTAACAGAGATACCACAAAAGCAGGAGAAAATCTGTCTACAAGCAGCACTCATCTTCATCAATCAGTGATATTAAAACTGAGACGTTGATCTAACTGGGCAACCTTACTCTTGTTGATAGATCAGTGGTTTTCAACCTGTGGTCCATGGACCCCCGAGGGTCTGCAGACTATGTCTCAGGGGTCTGTGAAAGGTTGTCATTAACATAGAACAGTAGTTTTCAACCTGTGGTCTGTAGACACCATGCCTGAGATTTCCAAAGGGGTCCGCACCTCCCTTCGAAATTTTTTAGGGTTTTGCAAATGAAAAAGGTTGAAAACCACATTGATAGAGGATCGTGTACAACTTTAGCTTTTTAATAAAAATAAACATGTCTTCACATTGCAGCAAAATATTCTTGCCTTTTTCAAGACCCAATGCAGGCATCACAAAAACATAGGTTTTTATGTCTCTTCAACAAAAATTGACTTCATTTGCGTAATCATTCAGGACAAATTTCACCAAAATACATATGGTTTCAGATGAAGGATTACTCTGTAAGATTTAGAAAAGATATGTAGCAACCATATCTGGGGATATGAATCTTTTAAGGGAAGGACCCAAACTAGGTAAGTTATATGCCAGGAATGTGGGATGACGGGGATCATACATACATGCAGTATCACAGATACATGTATACAGAAGCAGAGATTCTCAGCTCAACACTCTGAGGAAACTACTTCGGCAAGGCAGACTTTAGACTTAAACTAGGTTTTGATAAGAATTTTATCAGAATGTTACTCAAGGTACAGCAAGGATGCAAGGTGGAAGGTTGGTAGGTGCAAGGGGTAGAGTTAAAGTTAGATGTGAGTTTCTAGGCTTTCTAGTTCAGGTGACACTTGAAAACAAAATTCCAATCTTTCTGTTTGCTTTTTGAGTAAACTATGTTTTTAAAGGGCTATTTTTTCTCCTTGAGTAACTGATAAGTATTTGCAATCTTAATTCTGGGTTAACTTTTTTCCTAGGAAGAATATCTGCAGGCTAAAATTGATAGAGAGAGGCATGAGCATAAACACTTCAGCAGGTCTTATGATGGTTAGTGTATCTAGTAGAGGAATGTGTTTGGGAAGATGGACAGACACAGTGACTAACAATATTGTATTATTGCTTAGGTGAGAGCTCTTCCCAGTGCATCTATAAAGGAATAGAATCTTTAAATCCAGAAGAGAAAATAGATGGAATGCAAAATATCCTTGTAAAATGGGAAAAATTCAAATGGACTCAAGGATAGTCTCCTGTGTCTGGAATTCCTATGTTCATAGAGAAGAGTAAGTGTGAGAGACAGATAGATACTGATGACAGGAGTTTCCTTGAAAGGGTTATAAAAGAAAATGAGTTTTGCATCAAAATTGCATCTGGAGTTGTTTACATGCCTGTATTTAGTATTTACTGTCAATCCCTACTTCAGAGAGAGCTCATAGGAAAGCAGGTTAATTTTGTTTAGAAAACTGTTTTCTCCCAGAAATGACCTGATAGTGTGTAATGGTTTGAGGAATAAATTCTTGGAAAGGAACAACCTGCGTATCTTGATGTCAGTGAAGCACTGTGCGATTGCAGGGAAAGTGCAATGTTGAGTGATTACAGAGAAATGATCACTTGTGCCACATCGAGCACAAGACTCTCTCAAGACTTTGTAATTAAAGGCCCCAATTGATAAATCACGTGTTCACTGCTTAACTTATCTGGTGGACATCCAGTGAATTCAACTGCTGAAGAAGGACAAGACATTAAAATGCAGTCATTTGTCTTTCTGTTCATTTATACTTGCCATTCAACGTGCCAGTGATTCACTCCCACTTTGACAATCAAGGTATGCAATGTAATTTCCAGAAAAGATTGGTGTAACAGAAGCTTTTTTAAAAAAAAAAAAAGCAAAACCTCAGCTCCGATGATGAAATCATGCTTCTTGACTCATTTTAAAATATAGGGAATTTGGAAGAAAAAAAAAAAATCTATAGTCTTCTGCAAAAGTGAAGTACCCCTTCCCATCCCCCCACCCCTACTAAAATAACGTTTAGACTAAACAAATCAGTTAAGGCTGGACAACAGGGGATTAATGATCATGCTGCTGTTTCCCTTCTCCCCAATATATTGGTATAAAAATAAAATCATAGGGAACTGCTAACAGCTCCATTTGACAGATCGTGAGCTGAGACACAGAGAGATTAATTGATTTGCCTAAGACCACCCAAAAGTCTGTGGCAGAGCAGGGAGTTGTACCCAGGCTTTTCAAGTCCCAGTTAGTGCTCTAAGCACTAGGATATCCTTTATATGCTAACGGTCAGTGTTGGCACAAGAACAAATTGATATAAACTGGTTGTGAACAAATTCAGGCTGAAAATTAGAAGAAGGTTTCTAACCATCAAAGGGTTGAGTTACTGGAACAACCCCCCTAAAGGAGTTGTGAGGGGAAACAACTTAATTAGTTTTAAGAAAGAGCTGGACAAATTTAGGAGTATGATGAGGTTGCTTGTGATGCTAAGAGGCAAGGCCCAACAGCCCTGGGGCTCATAAGACAACTCCCACCTGTTCATGCTCTCTGTATGTGTGTATATATATCTCCTCAATATATGTTTCACTCTATATGCATCCGAAGAAGTGGGTTGTAGCCCACGAAAGCTTATGCTCTAATAAATTTGTTAGTCTCTAAGGTGCCACAAGTACTCCTGTTCTTTCTTCTGGTTTATATCTTCAGTTCCTAAAAGTCCATGCTCCAGGGTTTCAGCTGGTCACCTGCAGGGGTCAGGAAAGGACTCCTCACTGCCACACACA